TGAGTCAAATTCTCTTAGCACGATTAATGTAAATGAAAACTAAGCATATGTATGACTTCAGGGCTATGAGTACAACATATTTCATTCACAAACCTAAGCCTAACCATTCCTAAATAGAGAGATAAAAGTCCATGAAATACCTGTTTCAGTTGACTTCGAGCTGGACAATGTAGCAACCTTCAATGGTGTTTGAGCTTCTGTTGAGCTTGCCTGAAGTCCAAGGAAGCTTTTCCAATGCTTGGCTTGTTTTGAAACAGCTTGAATCGTGCTGTAGAACTCAACCTGCAGAGCTTTGAAACAAAAATGGCAAAGTGTGTTAGAGGTGTTACAGCTTGCAATGGGGGCCTGGGATAGTTCAAGTGAGTTGGTTGGAAGGTGTTTGAACTATCTTTGGACAAAATGCACGATGGGATTTGGTTATGGCTTGCAAGATGCATAACTTACCCTGTTTTGCAGAAAAACAGTGATTCTGTGTACAAGGGAGTTTGAGGGGCAAAGGGATCATGTTTTAGGCTTATTGGGAGGTATGGAACTTGTCTACAATGTTTGTCTAAGCTTGTCTTAACAGATATCAGAGATGGTATATGTTTTGCAACTTTTTTTCTTTCTTCAAGCAAGCATGTGGAAGTGATGTTATAGCTTGGTACAGGCCCTCCTATCATGCTGCATCTTTTGCTCTTGGTTCTTGGAATTGATAGCTTCAATCTTGCTTCAGAGATATGGCCCCATACCTCAAGGATTTTGGTTTGACATAAAGTGTACTTTTACAAAAATGGCATTTTACCTTTTTCCAAATAAGGGTTAATCTTGTATGTAATGTCCAAATGGCCAAGATAACACCTTAATTCAATGGTTATGCATTAAATTATGAAGTGCAAGTTGGTTTTGAGGCCTGCAAGATAGCACCAACATGCTGATTTGAAAATGCAAGTTTGTATGAACATGTATTGGTCATGGACAAAAGTGAGTTTTTGCCAACTTCAAGCATTTGATTCTCTCTAACCACAAGGGTGTTTGAGGAGTTCTTGGACAATTTGGAAAGCTTGTAGCATGTACTATAATCCATCTTTGTAATGAAACTTGAAACTCCAAGGGGAAATATGTGAAAAATGTCCAAGAAGATGGGTCAAAATCCTGCCTAGATTAGGGCAAATTTTCTCTAAGTTAAAAGTTTTAGGTACCCTTGTTCCAAATATCATAACTTGAGATACAAGCTTCTTTTGATAAAACTTTGTGAATAAAAGTTGTAGAATTTGTGATGGACTACAACTTTCATGTTGCAAGTTTTGTTTGAATCCATTTTCATCTTGGTGAAAAAGTTGGACAAAGTTAGGAAAAAATAAGAAAATTTCATAACTTAGAAAATTTCTAAGTTATGAAATTTTTTCCATTTTAAACTCTAATTTGCATTTTTTGGGTTTCTTGATGAACAAGTTTCATATTTGACATGTCTTGATGAAAAATAAATCTTGGCACTTGATTTTGACCAAAAAGTCAAAGTTTGACTTTTCAGTATACAGTCAAATTTTGATCAGTTGACTGAAAAATTCATCTGTCAATCCTATGCATTTGAGATATTTTGAACTTGTTGAATGGGTTAAGACAATGTAATTGAGTCCTTGAGTCCATATGTGAGCTTGGTTTGCCCTTGGCTAGGTGAAACAGTCAAAAATTGCCTTTGTGCAGTCAAAACCCTAAAAATGACCATTTTGCCCTTTTGGTGATTTGATCAAATTTCTTGTGGAATTGTGGTCCAAACTTGATCAAATGGTTCATATGAGTTCATAATGTTGATGTGGGTCAAATTTCATGAGATTTGACTATCAATTGGCCACAATTGATTTTTTCCCCAATACAGCTGATTTTTAGGTCAACTGTCCAATTGACTGGGCAAAAACTTGAATCAAGGCTTGAAATTTGGTATGGACAAACTTGTGAATCCAACATGAAGTATGAAAGTAAATTTGGGAATTGTAGGTCAAAATATCCTTATGCAAACTCAAACCCTAATTTGGGTCAATAGTGCAAGGAGGTGTCTTGAGCAGAGCAAACCCTAACTTGATACTGAATTCCAAGAGTCTTGTGATGAGAAATATTGATGAAATGAGAGGGTAAATTTTGGGGTACAACGCCTGGATATCCAATCTCCATGATACAACAACGTCTAGGCAACATATCAACAATATGATCTGCTCTAGTCTGCTCCTCCTCTAGTATCTCCTGATGAGTTATCCTAGGTGGATCTTCGGAAGTATCCTGTGTCATATAAAAATGTGACACTTTGAAATATCACTGGATGTAGTCGTGTGCAAACTCAAGTCAGTAGGAGCTATGGTACTCTGTGCCTCATGAATATCAGATGTTAAAGGTAATCATCAAACATGGTATTCATATCTCTACGTGTCATAGAGGGAGAAACATACTCATAAGGGTCTTTGGGAATAAAATGCATGTAGCTGAGCTTCCTTAAGAAGCGCTCTTACAGATGATGATACGTCAAATGTGAACCTCAATCCAACAATACAAAGTAGAAGACAACATCGTCTAAAGGACGCGTCTCACGGTGATCGACATACGTATGGAAGCGTATATCCTCTACTACCATGCAGTCAAGATACACTGCCCAATTCTCTTTGAGCGAGACGAATGAAGAAGCACATGGTATATCCTCAGTGTAGTTTGACATACATGACCATCCGAATATGTGTGGGAAGTGCTAGAGGATCTAAGCCAAAACATGGTACATATGAATCATTAGTAATAGTGTTGCAAAAGTGTTATGAAAATGATACACAAACACTAAAAAATGCCTAAATATTACCGTTAAGAGTGTGATGCTGACTATCATCTGTTTAGTCTTCCACATACAACCTAAATCTAACTTGGAGTCCATGTAGACCAAACAAGTGACTCTTAGTTGTACTCATGGATCTGCTCCAAGCCAGTGAAGTATCACAAGTAGATCACATCCATGTAAGTGGCACTCTTGTCCATAAAAATGGACGTGTCAACCAAATACAACATGCATGTTCTTAATTCATATGATCTATGCTGCACAACCTACTCATCATCACTAACAATCTACTCTGTTGCATGCATCTATCACATATACAACCTCTTTAGGAATCGAAACCTGGCATGAGCCCCTCGGGTGGCTTCTAACTCCTTTATGGAAACCTCTGGGTCAACTCTCAGATGGTTACCATAATCTCTGTTAATCACGCTGTGGTATAACAGTCTCCCAAGATCGAAAGATGCAATAGGCACAAGTCATCATCTAATGTGATAAACATCTCACTATTCAGAAGATGAAAAGATGAAGTCTCTGAGTGTCATCTCTCGATAAACTCAAACAACTTACCATGGTTAATCATAACATAAAAAATCATGCACAAGTATCTAAGCTCAGATAGCCGCATCACATCTTGAAACCAATACTCATTAGGCTGCGGCATACCAGTAATCTTTCGGCCATGGTTGATGAATTTTAAAGCATCGCGGTCCTGTACAAAAATAAATCATCGCCAGATACTTAAAATATTATAACAAATAATGCATTGATAATTTTTAAACTACCTATCAAACACATTGCTCATTTAAATAATATACTCCCACTGGTCCTTTTTATAAGAAACACTTCACCTTTTTAGATTCATTAAATAATTAATGTATCTGGTCTATGATACAGACTAGGTACATTAATTATGCAATGAATCTAAGAAGGTGAATTGTCTCTTATAAAAAGGACCAGATGGAGTATATAAACTACCTATTACATAACCTAATGCTCAATTTTTATAAATGTATTTATAAATAAAAAAAGTTTAGAAAGTGAGTTGGGAGAGTTTCAGACTTGAGAAGTAGGAAGTTTAAGAGAGTATTTTGAAAAGTGAGGAAGGAGAAAATGTCTAATACGTTTTTAACAAAAAAAAAAAGTCTAGAGATGCATCTCTGTAATTTACACGGAGATGTATTTCCATATTTTTTTTTTGAATTGCCTTAGGGCCTGACTCATAAACAAATGTGTTTGAAGTACGTCCAAAAATGCGTCTCTAAAATTTAAAAGTATTTTTCGTTTTTCACGAGAGTTTGGTAGCTTAAGGTGCCTTAATCAATTCCCTTACTGTAAGAGTATATTTTTAATTAAAATTTCAATTTTTATCTTAAGTTCCTCTAGGATGTTTTAATTCATACTCCATAAATTTTCATAGCTACAACCCTAATCTAGGTTTCTTCCCTCCTTTTTACTACAACTCCTTATATTTGTCTCCTTCTCCATGCTACAATATTATTCCATACATAAATAATAATTTATACACTACTAAAAAAAAGACATTTGAGAAAAGGTTTTTACATGGGGTATCAAAATATATGATGTAAAAAATACAACTAACAAACTTTTTACATCAGGTATTTATTTGCAATGATATAAAAAATATGAAAAAAAATATATTTCGCTACCTATTACATCGGGCAAACGCATCCACCGATGTAAAAAGTTTTCAGAAAAAAATACGGTGGCATTTTTGTAAATAAGAAACAAGGTAGTAGAAATATTAAAAAAAAACATGCAACATATTACATCGGTTGACTAAAAACCGATGTAATATCTTCATAACAGATATTAATATAAAAAATAAATTAAAGAATAAAATAATTTTTTCGCAACTTATTACATCGGTTGAAGTATAAACCGATGTAAAAAAGCCAGAATTTTCAAAGCCAAAACCCTTACATCGGCTAGTACAATGGATCGATGTAAAAAAGCCAAAACCCTTACATCGGTTGTAAGGTTCCACCGATGTAATAGGTTGTCCACTAAGCCAACCCTTACATCGGTTATGCCTTTCCACCGAGGTAATAGCTTCACAAATTTCGCAAACTCTTATTTCACAAATTTCAGTATTTCCACTGTATAATATTCTCCTTGGCCGCCGTTTCCACTCTACGCTCACGACCCAACCACCACCGTTTCACTCCTTGCCACTGTACGCTCACGCTCACGACCCAACCACCGCCGTTTCCCAGCCACCATCATCGACCGCCATTTCCGAAGGTTTTCGACCGCCGTTCAACCGCCGTTTACGTTCGTTTTTCCGCCGTTTCCGAAGGTTTTTTCCGCCATTTCGACCGCCGTTTCCGGTCTTCCTCTTCGACCGCCGTTTAGATTTATCAACGTTTAGATTTACCTCTAATAAAAGTAAGTGTTGTTGGTGGACGACCATTTTCTCATGGGGTACCTCGCTATTTCGGAAAAAGCTGCTGTCTGCAAGGTGTGTACTGTATAAAAGCAATTGTAGACATTTTTTTAAATCTTGAATGAAGGGACCATTATGTTATCTAGTTATGTTTCTAATGTATTTCACATATCTAGCAGTACCTTGAATTTCTTGATTTTAATATCCACTATTTTCGTAAGGCTTATAAGTTATAAGTAATAAATAATAGTAAAAGTGAAGTTTGATGGTACACTGAACTACTACTGAAATATATAGTGAAATTGGTTAATGTTAGATTGATATGCTATTGACATATATACTGAAATTGGTTTAGTGATACACCGAATGATTTTAATTGCATATTAAAATTGAATACTAAACTGCTACAGGAATATATTCCGAATGAGTTTAATTGGATGCTGAACTGCTACTAGAATATATATTGTTGTTGCTATTGAATATTGAATGAGTTTAATTGGTACTACATTAACTGCTCCTATGCACTGCCTTGCTATTGCTATTGAATGTGTAATGCTATTAAATATTGAATGATATTGCTACTGGAATATATAATGCTAAATGAGTTTAATTGCTAGCAATAATATGCTTTAATTCTTAGCAATAATATGTGAAAATGTGTCAGGAATGTATACCCACACGTATTGTCTCGTGGAGGGTATCGCTTACTTGAGGAGAAAATTATGAAAGAAAAGTCATCATCGAGAGATAATTCCACATTAGATGATAATGATAGTCCATCTCCACCATCACGCCATGAGTTATGGAAGAGAGCACGACAAAAGAAAGGAGGAGAATACACATCAAAATCTACACAAGAAGTTGCTGAAAAAATTGTAAGTAAACAACGAAAAAATATTCAAGTATCATTATATTTGTGATTGATTAATTGATGTTTTTGCATTTTGTAGGATTCTCTAGTTCAAGAAGCTGAAAAAGGTGCAATTGTTCCGGATGGACGTAACGATATCTTATCATTAGCCATTGGAACATCTGAGCATGGAGGTCGTGTTCGTGGTGTTGGAAAACACCATAAACAAAGCACTTACTTTGGAAGATCACGTCAACATATCGACGTAAATGAACAACTTGTAATATTGGAAACAAAACTTAGAGCTGAACTTGAAGAAAAGTTGGTTGAAGAGCGTAAGATGTTTCAACAATCATTAATGGAGACACTTAAGTCCATGGGTTTATCACAAAGCACAGGTGATAATAAATGCATTGAAAAATTGGAAATTATCGATGGAAGCGGAAAAGGAAGTTGTTCAGCTGCAAAGGAAAGCACAAAAGAGAGCACAAAAGACGTGGAAGTTGATGATGTTCAGAGATTGTTACTCATGGCTTTGAAAATGGATGATAACCATTTGGCAATACAATTAAGTTATTGTGCGAGTGTCTCTAATTTCTATGTTTCAGCTAAATGTATCAGAGAGTTATTGGTGGGTTTAGGTCATTGGCTTGACGTGTCTATTCTGCAAATTTGGTGCACGTAAGTACATTTTATTGTTTTATTAAAGTCATTTTATATTGGTAATTTAAGCTTGGAAACTTATAAATAGTTGAATATTTTTGTATATTTTGTGAATAATATGTAATTGTAAGTTTTGAAAAAAGACTTATAAATAGTTGAATATTGTTGTATATTTTGTGAAGAATTTGTAATTATAAGTTTGTTTGTTGTAATACAATACAAGTTTGCAATACAATTGTTCAATTTGTAAGTTTGTTGTAAAAAATATCAAAACATCGACCTAGATGTGATATATGTGATGTTGGAAAGCTATGAAATCTATATAGCGACATAAATATAGTCTGTGTGATATTGGAAAAATATGAAAAAATGGGTACAAATTATATTTGTACAGGGAAACATCCAGAAAATAAATAATCTATTCCAAAAAAATTTCATACATTTTACATCGGTTATTAGTAAAAACTGATGTAAAAACTTTCAAAAAGGGACTTTTTACATCGGTTGGGGATAATAACCGATGTAAAAAGTCGCGTCACTGGGGACTTTTTACATCGGGTATTACTTCCAACCGATGTAAAAAACTGGATCAATTTTTTTAAAAAATGTGCATAATAACTGTTTCTTACATCGGTTCATATATTATAACCGATGTAAAAAAGGGACTTTATACATCGGGTATTACTTCCAACCGATGTAAAAAACTGGATCAATTTTTTAAAAAATATGCATAATAACAGGTTATTACATCGGTTATGATATTATAACCGATGTAAAAAAGAGACTTTTTACATCGGTCCCAGAACCGATGTAAAAAGTCCCTGATTTACTATATCGCCTGACTTTACATCGGACCCAGAACCGATGTAAAAAGTCAATTTCACCCGATGTAAAAAGTCATTTCTGCAAAAATGAAAATAAATATATTTTTCACACTAGTCTCTTAAAAAAGCCGTTTTCAAAAATAAATTTCAAATATCTCAGTATTATATAAAATGCTTACTCTCTCTATAATGGTTAAGAACATAATGTCAAGTCTAATGTAAGACAAATAAATTAGCTTATCAACTAAGATCTATTACTTTTTAGTGTCAACAATAGCGCTTCTTCCTCCTCAAAATTTTACATTAGGATACAGTTGATCGAAAATCACTCATTTTATGAATAAAGTGTTGTTAACTTGTCCTTGAATGTAATATTAATTCTTTATTGGCTGAGCGAACCTTTCAAATCAAGATTTCAGATAATGTTTTAATTTATAAAAGACTTCTTACACTCTGACCATGGAGGATCTTCCAAATAAAGCTCATGATTTCACCACCAAAAAAAGGAGGAGAAAACTAACTGCTTTAGAAGAAGTGAGAGTCACTCATAATCCTGCTAAAAAGAAGCTTCTAAGTGATGCTCATAAGGCTCTACAAAAGGAAGTAGAAGAGGTAGCTTCCACAATTGTGGTCCTGCCTACCAAAACTAGGAGTAGAGGTACTGGTAAAACTCTTGAGAAGAAGAAAGCTTCTATGCTTGCTCGCAAATAGAAAAATAAAGGATAATGATTCTTCCAAAAGAAGAAGAAGAAGTAGAACAAGACACTCTGGTAAGTAAAGCTAGACAACATGTGGACACTGTTATATCATCTGCTATCATAACTGGTGCCAAATCCTTGCATCTTCCTATGCACATCATGCTGATGAAATCAACCAGAGTTTTCATAAAGTTCTGAGGAAGCAGCTGGGAACTAGATTTAAGTTTGTTACCATATCTCCTAAAGTTGTTCAACTGGTTCAAGAGTTCAATGCTGGAGTTGAGCACCGTGCTCCTGTAGGTTTTTAGAAGATATCTTCAAATATAGCTACTTCATATGTTGTTCCAAAAGCTGGTGTTTGTATGGAATTTGAAGCTGATACTTAAGGGTATGTGGCAGAAGAATTAGTGGTTGAGGATCATGCGGCTAAAAAAGGATTCACTGCAGAGGAGCCTCTGTCTATTAGAGCTACATCAAGTAGCTTTTGATCCTCTATTTAATTCAAATCATAATTCTTCATCATTAATGAGAAAATCCCCAACCCCTACATCTTCTGACTCAGATCACACATCTTTCCCTCCATCTTCAAATAACCTAGCTATCATAAACTACCAACCATCATTTCTACCCACTTTCGCTGTGCTGGAAACTTCTTTAGAGCATCTAGCAGGTGAATTGACTTCTAACCAACAAATTTACCACCCCTCTTGGTTACACCCCTAAAATTTTACTCTACTGACCCTCCTCCATCTGAATCCCAAACCTCTAGCACTTCAACATAACAAAATAAGAGTCAATATATTGTTGAATCTGAATGTGTTATGTCTGATGAAACTCAACCTGTAAAACAACTAGAAAGTGAACTTCACCATTCATCTCTAATCATGGAAACTGCTCTTGTGACACAAGCCGACACATAACAACTCTCTAGAATTGGAAATGACCTTACTCATACTGAAATTTCTCCCACCCCCTCTACCTCACCTATGTCTAACATCAATCAACCTGCCCCTCCCCATATCATTTCTCAAATGGAACAGTTCAGATGAATTTTATAACAAGGTCAAATGACTTGTCTTTCACAAACTTGTTACTACTGATGTTTGAGCATATGTTGCAATGAGAAGTCTTCAGATTTTCTATTGACTCAGTCATACAAAATCTAAGAAGCTTCTCATCAAAAACTATTGCCTCATCTAATCAGAGGTAGAGTCAGCTTGAGGCTAGAATAACTTATGATGTTGATTCTCAGGTGCTGATGGGGACTCAGATTCAGGAAATGAGCTATCAAATTTCCAATCTCTCAAGTCATCAAGATATTGTGGATACCTAACTCAGTTATGTGGTTGTTAAGAAAGAAGAAATGGTTTCTGATATGAAGACTATTCTGGAACTTTTCAAGAAACCCTAGGATTATGATTTAGAACATATTATTATTATTTTTGCTATCTTTAATCTACACTGATTTTACTCTTAAAATATATTTTTATATTCAGTATTTTTTCTCTCTTTATCCTATTTTTTATTTTTGTTGATGACAAAAGGGGGAGAAAATGAGAGTATTTAAAGAGGATAAAAGCCTTCTTACCCGAACCTAGTACACGGACTTTCTTTTTTATGTGCTTAAATGTGAAGATTATTTATGCCATCAAGTAGAAGGTTCAAGGTTCTACAGAAGTTCTTGTATGATTGATATATCTGGCAAACGAACTTGAAATTTTTAGAGTTATTAAAGAGAGGAAGTGTGAAAACTCGCCTGGTCGTGTCTGTCTAAGTAACGAGAGTCTTGTAAAAGTAGAAGAGTAACTCTAAAGACACCTAGGTAACTTACGCATACACACACCTAAAATGTTTATAAGGCCTCTATTTATTTGATAAAATAATCTAAAAAAGTTTTTAGGACATAGCCAACTGACTATGGTGTTGGAATAAAATTGTTCATATACCTTGGGTTTTGATGATAACAAAGTACTTAAAAAACAATTGAGCATA